TGGGTAAATTAGATCATCTTCCACCCTGGGATCACGGAACAGTTGACTCCTTTTGACTCAGGAGGAGGTCAGAATCACTTCCCCACAGATAAATCCATAGAAACAGAAAGCAGATTGATGGTTACCAGGGGCTGGGGAGAAGAGGGAACGGGACATGGCTGCTGAAAGTTTATGGAGTTTTATTTTGGGGCAATGAAATGTCTTGGAATTAGATAAAAGTGATGGTGGTACAACACTCTACAGTACCAAATACCACTGGGGTGGTGGGGAATCACTCCCCCAAGACAACATCACAGGCAGAGGAAAGCAAGTTGTATATATATTTCTTTCCTAGCATAGTTACCGAAATTTTAAGTTTTTATGGGAATAAGTGCAAAGATTTCTAGAGTTGAAAACAGAACTAGGAAGAAAAATATTGCCTCCCTCGCACACATACCCACCCCAAACATATCACCTCTACCAGCTGCAGTCCTATCCTCAACGTTTCAAAATCCATCTCTTCTTCTTTGTCTTTACTGCATAGGTGTTGTTCAGGACTCATCCTCTCCTAGACTCTTTAATCCCTGCCTCCAGGCTCACTACATACTTTCTGACTCCTTCTCCATTTTAGTTACCATCGTGATTTTTTTTTTTTTTTTTTTTTTTTTTTTGGTCTGAGACAGAGAGTCTCCCTCTCTCGCCCAGGCTGGAGTGCAATGGCACCATCTTGGCTCACTGAAACCTCCACCTCCCAGGTTCAAGTGATTCTTCCACTTCAGCCTCCCGAGTAGCTGGCATTATAGGCACCCGCCATCATAGCCACCTAATTTTTGTACTTTTTTAGAGGGGGGGTTTCACCGTGTTGGCCAGGCTGGTCTTGAACTCCTGACCTCAAGTGATCCACCTGCCTCAGCCTCCCAAAGTGCTGGGATTATAGGCTTGAGCCACCATGCCCGACCTCCAACATGATCTTAATGCAGGTCTTTCCAATGTGTTGCTACCCCACTTTTGCCTTGACAATGATTCCTAGAGCTAAAACAATGAGATCTGAACTGCTTAACATGTCCCAGGAGGCTTTTCAATATCTAGTCCTCTCCTCTCCAGCCTCTTTGACTGCTCCACGTTAGATATACTGAGGTTCCTGCAGCTCCCGGATGTGCTGTACTCCCTTTCTCCTGTGCCTTTGCACACACTATTCCCTTTGCCTGAAACAACATCCTAGCATTCACTGCCTGGTTAACTCCTCCTTATCCTTCAAAGCCGAGATCAAATAGACATCCTTTAGGAGAAGCCTTAGAAGGCTTCCCACTCCCCTTCAGTCTGGGTTAAATGCCACATTCTCTGTGCTTCCTCAACACCCTGGCTTCCCTCCATCATAATCCTTAATATGCTGTATTGTGGTCATCTGTTTACCTGGCTCTCTAACTCACTGGCCTACAAACTCCCGGAGGGTAAAAGACTGTCTTAATGTATATTCATCTTCATATTTTTGGAGTTTAACACATAGCAGGAATCCAGTAAGTATTTATTGATTGCATTCGTTCATTTTTCAAAAAAAAAGTAATGTTTAAAATTCAAAGCATTGGAGAAACGGAATTGAAAACAAATGTTCGGCACATTGTAACTTAGATCTCTTCTTGGTGCTTAGGGTATAGTTTTTCTTGTTTGCTGGAAATGTATTTATTGTCGAATGTGTCCTTTCGCACAGCAGAGATCTGTGGAGTAGGATTGTGGGCTGGGAGTGGGTTTATCCCATAGACCTAAGACAGCCACTTAATTTGTGTAGACCCTTCCCAGCCTGGGCCTCTGGGTTTTCTTTCTGGGTGGAGATCATCTTCTGTAGGAAATGGAACTGCTCCAAGCCAAGAAGCTTTTACTTTTGCTAGGTCTTTTTGTGTTCTGCTGTTCAAATATTAGGAAGACTGAACCCTGTTTCAGTCTTGACAGTATTATGTTTCATGATCCCAAAAAAAGTGTTTGTGTAACCTCAAGTCATGCTGAAAGTGAAATACAGCTTAAAGTGGGATTCTGCTGGACCTCACTCAACTTTTCACCTCGCCGCTTGGCTCCGAGCGGGCAGTATTTGAGTATGTGGTTCCCCCTCAAGTCTGTAGGAGTTGTATTGTCAATAAGGTCCAAAGCCAGAGTGCTTGCTTTCTATTAAGTAAAGAGAATTTTTGAAATTCAATGACAAACCTTTATTAAGCCCTTATTGTGTACAAGGCTCAAAGCTAAGTGCTTTGGGTGATTCAGGGTGATTAGGGATAGGATTCCATCTTCAAGAAGCCTCTCATCTAGGAAGAAAGGCCGATAAGCAAAGTTTTGGACACATAGGAGAGCATGGCTTTCTCTGGGTCCAGTAATACTTTGGTATCCAGATCATTAGAGAATGGAACACCTTCTATTGAACTATGCAACAGTCACAGGTTTAGATCTTCGCAAGTTATTATTGCCTTTAATCTTCATATGATTCCTATCTTGCAGTTAGGAAATGGAAACCCTAAGATGTAGTGACTATGAGCTCAGAAAATTAGATTGGGAGATAAGCCAGTAGATTGAGGTGGTAGATTGTTCAAGATCTTGAAGGGGAAGGTGTTTGCTGGGGATAGGGGAGCTGTCCCCAGCTATATTTGCCCTTGGCAGATGGGATGGATTCTGGGAGAAAGAGCTCTAAGAAATTAGACCTGTATGACTTATTTTCATGAATCTAGCTGCTAAGCTGGGATAAGTGAAGTTAAAAGTAGTGATGGGCCAGGCGCAGTGGCTCACGCCTTTAATCTCAGTACTTTGGAAGGCCAAGGCAGGCAGATCACGAGGTCAGGAGTTCAAGACCAGCCTGGCCAGCATGGTGAAACCCTGTCTCTACTAAAAATATAAAAATTAGCCAGGCACAGTGGCACGTGCCTGTAATCCCAGCTACTCAGGAGCTGAGACAGGAGAATCACTTGAACCTGGGTGGCAGAGGTTGCAGTGAGCCGAGATCGTGCCACTGCACTCCAGCCTGGGTGACAGAGTGACACTCCGTCTAAAAATAATAATAATAATAATAATAAAAGAAAGTAGTGATGGAGAGATTGATCAAAACCTCTTCCTCTGAGACAAATTGAAGGATAAAGGGGAGGATAATTTTGAGCTACAGATGAGGACATTGTCGTTTGCACCTCTCAGATGATAACATCATTTTAGTACAAAAAGAAGTAAGGCCACTGGGGGAGATCAGGGAAAATGTGGGGCTGGGGCTGGAGTAGAGAAGAGTTGAAAAGTTTAATTATCTTCACATTGAGCTTTAATCGAGTCTGTTTCCTCATACTGGGGACACTTGAAAACCGTTTCCCAAACCAACTACAAAGAATTTTCTGGCAGGGGAGCCTAAAGCCTACTGGCAGGTTGTGCACAGATCTTTTTTCTCCTGATCCCCAAGTTTGACTCTGACTAGGAGACAAATCTTTTGGTACCATGGTTTTCACTGTTCAAACCTCCTGAAAAGAAAAGAAACCAAAAGAAAGGGAGAAAAGACTGAATTTTTTTCCCTTGCAAAGTGGTACATCCAATAGCACTCAAACTGTGAATGTATTACGATGTTATACTTCTTGGCTAATATTTCATTTTCTTGTAGTAGCATAGAAGTAGCCTAGCTTTATTTTTTTTTAACAACAAAATAATACTTATTAAATGTTTTGGTAGGTAATATATGTAATGGGTACAAAATTCAAAAGGTACAACAGGTTTTACAGTGACCAGTAAACATCTGTTTCACCTTTGCCTTCTAGCCACCCAGTTCCCTTCTCTCGAGGTAACCAGCATCACCAGCTTCTTGCTGTGATTTTTATAGCATTTTCTTGATTGCTGTGTTGCTACAGAAGAGACATTGTGAAAATGAGTTTAACAAATAATGCAAGTCCCTACTGTGGCCAGGCCCTGGATTGCTAGAGCCTTAGTTTTGGTAAAATCTTATTAAGAACTTTGTTTTCTTGCCTATAATGTGGCCAGAGTGAAGCCATAGTGCTGTCATTAGTAGTGAGCACATTACCATCTGTAGGACAAAGATCCATCAATTCAGAAAGCTGTTGGATATAGGAACTCTGATAGTGTTTTACTTGCTATTTTGAAACCCAGCCATGTGTTTCCTATTAAATTACATGACTGATAGCTGCCGCTTATGGTTACTTAGTAAAGACTCCTGTTGCTAAATGGCTCAAATGGATGTCTGTGTATTTATTTTGCCATGTAATACAAAGCATAAATTTTTCTTACTCCAGTAGCTCATCAAGCCCTTGGATCTTTCATTATAAGTTCATTGAGGCAGGAACTATGCCTGTGCCATCCTCACACCTTTGCAAGTGGCATTCAATAAATGTTTCTCAGGTATTATAAGAAAGACTCAGTGAGGTCACATTCCCAGGAGGAAAAAGGACGCTGGGAATAAGTGATAGGAGATTTTTCATTAACCTTTCCTCTAGGTTAGTTGCCAACTTTCTCAGCAACGAGAACCCGGTTTCTTGACCCCCATCAAATGGTTGATATCAGTAGGTTTTCAGGAAAAATAGTCACCACTGCCTGACTTCAGCTCTTGCTGATAGGAGTTCATGTTGGCTGATCTTTTCTGGTTACACCCTGGATTCCTTTGTGAGGAAAGGGAAAGTAGTGTGAATTAATGACTACAACTAATTATGACCTGCTTCCTTTGTTTAGGAACTTATCTTTCATTGCTATTCGTTTGCCTTGAGAAATAAGGAAGTGTGGGTTGCAGATACGGGCACTGGACTGAGAGTCCTTAGAAGTGGATTCCACTGAACTGGTGTTGTGCAACCTGGAGCATGTCACTGCCTTTTCCTGGGCCTCAGTTTCCCTATCTGTACAATAAGCCTTGACGATATGATCCCTATCGCCCTTCCCTATTCAAAGAGTTATGATTTGGGGCCCCTCTTCCTGCAGTCTGTGCTCCTCTGACCTTCCTTTACCCTGTGTACCCAGACCCCGGATATCAGTTACTGACTTCCATCTCTGATTTGTGCTTCTAGGTTTTCTTCGTGTCTGACCTCTTCAAGACTAAGACGACGCTCTCCCTGCCTGCCCCTGCTATCCGGAAGGAAATCCTTTCACCTGTGGACATTATTGACAGGAACAATCACCACAACATGGTGTAGGTGCCACCCACCTCCTGAGCTGTTTCTGTAAAATGACTGCTGACAGCAAGTTCTTGCTGCTCTCCAATCTCATCAGACAGTAGAATGTAGGGAAAAACTTTTGCCCGACTGATTTTTTAAAAGGAAAAAAAAAAAATGTTTTACTTTGTGGCCTTCCAAAATAGGTAGTGTTCGCCTATGTGGAAACAACAGCAAACTAACACCAAGTGCCAGAGTCCTGGATGTGCAATTGGTTTAAGTGTTCATGTTCTAGTGAACACGGCTTGTTCAGGAACAAACACTAAAATGATTTGAGTAGAGGCTGCTGGTCACCTTTTGTGACCTGAGGAATCCCAGGCCTGTGAGAAAAGCAAAAATTCACATTGTAGCACACGATGCCAGACATAGCACTGAATCAAGAAAATAGCCATTGCAGAGCTGCCCTCTTGAGTCTTTCTGTCCATCCCATTCTATTCTGTACTGTGACTTTAGTTCAGGAAGTTTTGCTTTGTGTTTTAAATAGAAGGAAAGAGCAAGTTTGCTCAGTCAAGTGATCAGATCCCGAATCCAGATTCCCAGTGCTAAGGCCTTACCACCTCCCCTGCCCATAGGCCAACAACCATAGTTCCTCACATTAGTGATTAGCAGACTCTTTGTGGACGAGTGAATTTCACAAATAGCACAATTTCAGAAGAAATCGAGGGCACAGGCCCTCACTTTTCTTCTTTTGACGCACCATCCTGTGATGTTGAAATGTCAATTGCAGGATGCTGATGTTGTGCACGTCAATCACCGGGCACTTGCACACTCTTAGAAACAGTTCGACTTCGGTTACTGCCTTCTCCCTTGAAATCCTTGCTGCGTGCCCACCAGGATTTCCTGTGCGGGCCCGGGATGAGCAAGGCATGGTCTGCCACCAGCTGATGGAAAGCAGCCTTCTGTACAACAGATGGGAGAGTGAAGGGGGCAGAATGAAAATCGAACCAACCTTTTAGCTGTTGCAAATCAGAAGGAGCCAGAGAAGCAGGCAGTCTCATGCCTGAGAGGTTACCCTTCAGGATGACAGAGCTGAGGGTCTTTGTAGGAGTTGCTCTTGCTGTGTAAAGCACTATTGTCTTGGGGTTGACCCCTAGGGCAGTTCTTGATAGGTTCTGCTGGGCAGAACATATGGGTTAAATCTCGGTAGAGAGTTTTCCTCATCCTCTATCCATAAGTGTCCTTCCATGCAAGGTCCTACTCTAGGTGATAGACAGGGACCCCTTCTACTGTACCTTTTGAGGAAAGGAGGAAGGAAGAAATGCGTTTAGATCTTGGATGCAGACCTTTCAAAGGGTTACATGTAACCATATGGATCAACCACATGCACATCCTTACTACAGAATCCGTCCTTTCATTTCAACTTATAGCAAGCTATGATTTTTATATATAAATATTATATAAATAATGTATAAAACATTAAAAGTTAACTATGTAAGATATTTCTGAAACAATTTTAGCTATATCCACTATGATTATAAACTGTGTCTCGACCTGTGTTATTTACATTAGCTGCTTAAAAAAGCATTGAGTTAATTTTTTAAATATCAACTAAAATATCATAGTTCTGTGGTAGACATTGTTTTATAATGAAAGAAATAACTGCAACTAGAGAAAACTGTATAAAAACATTAAATTGTCGGTATTTTTGTAAGGTTCCATTTTGTAAAGAGAATAATATTCAAAGACTTTTGTAGCATACAAAGTGAAAACTTGTATCTGCGAAACTATACTTGTATTAAATGTGCTTTTTAAATAAAAGCTCGTAACACAACTAATTAAGGACTTGCAAGCCTGGAGTGTTTGAGAGATGTTTGTCTCAGGTGTGCGGGTAGGAGAAGGAAGAATCACAGGCTGGCCTCTTTGAGTGGGCTTGCCTCATCTCAGGGCACCAACTCCTGATTTTTTTCAGTGGGAAATGTGGTGGTCATAGGGTAGATACTGACGTCTGCCCTGCTCTTTCATCTCTGAAAGCCTGTTTGCAGAATGAGGCCCTGGCTCTACCCTCATCTCAGGCTCCTCTAGAGAGCTTTTGTATTCTAAAAGGGATTTTTCCATCAGAGGGGTAGGAGCTGTAGGAGCCCCAAGGGCAGATAAGCAGCCTTCACTCTAGATAAGGTATGCTGGGGGAGCTGTACTGAGGGAATCCTGTACACAGTCCACATCAAAGGAAGGTGCAGGCACTGCTGAGAATGGCATGTGGCTCCTGCTTCCCTTCCTTGTGTTCCTCCAACCTGGAAGAAAAGGGGAAGCTAGAAATTCACATTTATCGAGCACCTGTGTGCCAGGGATTTTTGCCTATTTGTTCTGTCTGATCTTCACAGCAGTTCTTATTTTTAGAAAGAAGGAATACTAAGGAATGCAAAGATGAAATGATTTGTCTAAGATCCTAGAGCATTAAATTGTAGGACAGGTCTTATATTAATTTACTATGGCAGCTGTAACAAATTACCACAAACGTAAAACAACATAGATGTATTGTCTTACAGTCTTGAAGGCTGTAGGGGAGAAGCTGTTTCCTTGCCTTTTCCATCTTTAGAGGCCACCCACTTTCCCTGGCTTGTGGCCCTCTTCCTCCATGTTCACATGGAGGAAGCAACACTGGGTCGAGTCCTCACCTGCCATCTCTTTGGTTCTCCTCGGCTGCCACCCCTTTCACGTGTAAGGGCCCTCCTTGGTGATTACACAGGCCTGCTCATAATCTAGGATAATCACGTATATTAAAGTCAGTTCACTGGCAAACTTAATTCAATCTGCTGCCTTAATTCCTCTTTGCCATGGAACATATATTCACAGATGCCAGGGATTTAAGACATGGACATGTTTCGGGAACATGAGGAGTACCGGAGGTCACCCTCTGACCCTCAAAAGATTCATACCCATCCCACATGCAAAACCTATCACCCTATCCCCACATCCGCTAAAGACCTAGGATATGGCAGTATCAAGTCAAAATCCTAAATCTTAACAACGTAAACACCCCAAATCTCATCATCTAAACTAACCCATTCAAATTAGGTAAAGAGGCTCCATGTTTAATCCACCCTGGAATACATTGTTCTCTATGAACTTGTGAAACTTAAGAAACAAGTTATCTGCTCCCTAAGTTCAGTGGTGGGACAGGCATAGAATAACAGTTAAAGACATTCCTATTTAAAAAGGGAAAGAAGCCAGGCGTGGTATCTCACGCCTGTACTCCCTGCGCTTTGGGAGGCCAAGGCAGGCAGATCACGAGGTCAGGAGATTGAAACCATCCTGGCTAACACATTGAAACCCCATCTCTACTAAAAATACAAAAAAAAAAATTAGCCGGGCGTGGTGGCGGGCGCCTGTAGTCCCAGCTACTCGGGAGGCTGAGGCAGGAGAATGGCGTGAACCTGGGAGGCGGAGCTTGCAGTGAGCCGAGATCATGCCACTGCACTCCAGCCTGGGCAATGGAGTGAGACCCAAAAAAAAAAAAAAAAAAAAAAAAGGGTGGGGGAGATAAATAGAAGGAAAAAAGAAGTCATCAATCCCAAGCAACTTCAAAATCCAGCCAGGGACCAGGCATGATGGCTCACTCACGCCTGTAATCCCAGCACTTTAGGAGGCCGAGGAGGGCAGATCACTTGAGGTCAGGAGTTCAAGACTAGCCTGGCCAACATGGTGAAACTGCGTCTGTACTAAAAATACAAAAGACTAGCTGGGCATTGTGGCACATGCCTGTAATCCCAGCTACTCTGGAGGCTGAGGCAGGAGAATCACTTGAACCCGGGAGGCAGAGGTTGCAGTGAGCCGAGATTGCACCACTGCACTCCAGCCTGGGCAATGGAGTGAGACCCAAAAAAAAAAAAAGAAAAGAAAAAGAAAAATCCAGCCAGGGGTGCTCCACTTGGCTTCAAGTCCTGGAAATAGACCCAAGTGGCTCGTGTCTCCTTGACAGTAAAGCCTGCTCTTTACTGCTACATGCAGCCACCTCCAGCCCCTGGAATAGCTCAGCAATTTCACAGCATTTTTCTATAAGTGGTGATGTTTCTTTGGGCCCCAAAATGTAGCTAGGAAGATCCTTAAGGCCAGAGGCCAAATTTTCATTTCAAATCTGAAGAACCAATGTGCAGAGGGGCAGAACAACTCTTGTTTGTGGGGGTGGGAGAAGGAAGGCACCCAGGGAGTAGAGGGACTGGTGAGACCAGAGCTCAAGCCTCCTGATCCTAGTACCCCAGTCTTTCCATTTTACCTTCCAACAGTACTTGACAAATGGAACTTGAGAAGTAGCCCGGTTTCATGCGGACTTAAGGAAACAATGGAGCTGCATGCTATTGTGAGGAGCAGCATGATGTGGAGAAGGAAACTAGGACCTGGGGACTCAGGCCCAGGTTGCAGTCTTGTCTCTGACACTTACCAGCTATGTGTTGTGACTTTGGACACATTTCTTAACCTCTCTGAGCCTTGGCGTATTGCTCAGTAAAGATGAGATTTGCAAGATCTGTTTTTATACCTCTTTGCTCATGGCATTCTGTGGGCCTTGACTTGCTTATTTAAATGTGGTTCACAGACTAACAACATTTGTATCCCTGGGGAGCTTGGTAGAAATACAGACCTAGGAGACCCTTGCCCCACCCCAACCTACAGAATCAGAATCTTCCTTTGGGTAAGATCTGTAGGTGATTCATATGCACAATAAAGTTTGAGAAATACTCCCACTCTTTGCTCCTTAAATCTGCAGACTCTGTTCAGGTGTGCTTCCCCCAAGCCACACTCCTCCAGGGCTTGGCTCGGAGCATGCTGGGTGCAGACATCAGTAACCTCTTAGCTTAATATACCAAAATTGCATGCATAAAGGTCTGTATCAAGACTGTCAGATTATCAGGGGCAGAAGCAAGTCTTACCCTCTGCAAATCTTGCATTTCTGCCTGGCACTGAATAGTTCTTGGCAATTTTGAACCAATTAATCATCATCCAGGTCAAATAGTCATGTGATTCTTGGTAACCATCCAATTAAACAGGCCGCAGGGATATAGAGAATTGCAAAACATTGACCCTGTCCTTAAGAATTAATGAGGACTTACATTTTCTCTGACGTAGAGATAGAAGGAAAAAAACAAAAAACTTTAAAAGCTAGAAATCTGTATAAGATTCCTGCCAGTTAGAGTAAATTCATACATTCATTTGTTTATTGTAAAGTATTCCCAAAGAACTGTTGATGTGCAAAATCCTGACCCAGGTATTTTCATGCAGTCTGCTTCATTTAAATCTTCAAAAACAACTGTTAAAGTAGATATGATTGGGGGAAAATGAAGAGAAGTTGGTTGATAGGTAAAAAAATACAATTGATAGAAGGAATAAGTTCTAATATTGGATAGTATATTAGGTAAATTGCAGTTAACAGCAATTTATTGTATATTTCAAAATAACTAGAAGAGAAGAATTGCAATGTTTCCAACACAAAGAAAAGATCAATGTCTTAGGTGATGGATATCCCCATTCCCCTGATTTGATCACTAGATATCATATACATGTATCAAAGTATCACATGTACTCCAAATGTGTGTACAACTATGATGTATCAATAAAACAATACAAAATAAAAAGGTAGCAATGAATAGCCCCATTTTACTGAGTGAGAAAATGAAGCTGTTAAGAATCTTGTTTTAGTTCACACATCTCATACGGGATAGATCTGGGATTCTGATCTAAATGACTTCAGTCATCCATTGACTAATATTTGTTAATCACTTCCTGCGTACCAGGCACTGGTAAACACCTGAAGTAAAATAGTAGATAAAATGGGATGCCAGCTTCGAGGAGCTTATAGTCTAAAGGGGAATACAAACAGTCAACTTACAAATATGTAATTAAGAACTGGGATGAGTGTTCTGAAGAAAGAATGCAGGAGGAGCTATGAGAGCTCTCAGCAGGAGGACCTGCTATTAAGGAGGGCTTCCCTGAGACCCACCTAGGGCTAAAGTCTGGTTACAGCACTGACTCAACAAAATGAATGAAAAGAGCCCGGCCTTTCGTGGGCCTAGAGCCTAGAATGTAGTTCTAGTAAATAATGAGTAAATAATCCCAGTAGTGTGATGGGGAGGAGGGGCCTTTATGAAGTGTTGTGACATGGAAGGAATCAGAAAGATCTGGATCTGCTCCCTACCCTGTGTAAGCATCCCTTCTAGAACATGTGACTCTGACAAGAAATGTCAGGTTTGTTTGTTTGTTTGTTTGTTTTTGCGTAAACCCCTCTGATATGGTTTGGCTGTGTCCCCACCCAAATCTCATCTTGAATTCCCACGTGTTGTGGGAGGAAGCCCGTGGGAAGTGATTGAATTATAGGGGTGGGTCTTTCCTGCACTAGTCTTGTGATAGTGAATATGTCTCACAAGATCAGATGGTTTTAAAAAGGGGAGTTTCCCTGTACGAGCCCTCATCTCTTGTCTGCTGCCATGTGAGACGTGCCTTTCACCTTTTGCCATGATTGTGAGGCCTCCTCAGACATGTGGAACTGTAAGTCCCATAACCTCTTTTGTAAATTGTCCCATCTCAGGGAGGTCTTTATCAGCAGCATGAAACTGGGCTAATACAGTAAATTGGCACCAATAGAGTGGGATGCTGCTGATCCAGGCTTCCTGCTTTTTTATTTTTGTGAGACAGATTCTCGCTCTGTCGCCCAGGCTGGAGCACAGTGGCGCAGTATCAGCTCGCTACCACCTCCACCTCCCAGGTTCAAGCAATTCTCCTGGCTCAGCCTCCCTAGAAGCTGGGATTACAGGCACGTGCCACCATGCCCAGCTAATTTTTTTGT